AATTTCAATTTTTCGTATTTCTGACACATTTACACGACACGAAAAAAAAAGTTGTAACTGCAGAATGACGGATTAAGACGATCTATATGCAAAAATGAATTTCCAACACAATGGCGCAGATACATGGAATTCAGATTAAAAACTTTCAAATCAATGCGGACAAATAAAACAACACTTACGACACATCAATAAATCAACAGAAAAAAAAAATCTTTTGAAAGAAACATCAGTGTATTCAGGCCTGGGCCTGTTTCGGAACTGTCGATGGTTGACCCTTCTTGTTCATCAAGTAACGATGGATGTGTGGAATCACACCTAAAAAGAACTCACGCTTGAATACTAGGCATATTCAAACGACTGGGAAAAAATGCATTTAATATCAGGTAACTTGAACATCAAGAATTCAAGAACTGACCTCCACCGGCAATAGTTGCTTTTATCAGAGTGTCTAGTTCCTCATCACCCCGAATAGCCAGATGCAAATGACGCGGAGTGATCCTCTTGACTTTCAGATCTTTGGAAGCATTTCCTGCCAATTCGAGCACTTCAGCGGTCAGGTATTCCAGAATTGCCGCGCTATAAACTGCTGCTGTCGCGCCAACACGTCCATGAGAAGTTGTTCTACAAATAAAACTACTCCATCCGAACTTTCTTAACAATCGCTGCGAAAATTCCAACGCAGAATTAGTTCAAGTCGTTCTTTCTCTGGTCTGCTTAACTACAGTTATTGCCTGCCTTACTCTGTCACACAAGTAGCACTTTTTGAACAGTTCCAATGATTGTTTCCTGTTCTACTGAAAGCACTCGTAAATACGTGACATTCGCTTACTGCTTGCCAAAACGGCAATTTGTCTCACCCGTCCGATTTTGATGCGTGTCAACATCTCGCTGACCACCCAGTAGAGTAACAGAAGCGACGGACACAGAGAAAGAGGCCATCGCCAGAATTAATGAATCAAGCTAACAATACACCAGGCTTGCCGATGCGATCATGCATTTTTGCGCGAATTTTGAAGCAATCAGACTATTAGTAATCTGAGTGGATATTGCTTTGCTGTTTAAAGCGTGCACTCATGTTGGCAATGTCATGGCCTTCCCATGCATGTGGGGGAAAAAGGTACCGGCTGGGACGGCGGTGTTACACAAACAGGCCACGTTTTGCTTCTACCGCTCATTCACTGAAAATCCGAAACTGAACAACGAGCAAGATATGGAGGAAAACGATGGCGAAGTCCAAGCAAAAGCACTCGTTTTTGAGGTCGGGGTTGAGCATTTTTTATGCGCGTGTATGCTCAAGGAACTTAGTCTACAAGTTTTACCCAAACGTTGACATAGGAT